GATTAAGCTTGAAAGTAGACTTGACGATCACACAAACACACGTCTAAAACCTAAAAGACTGGATCAATTTTAACAAAAAAAAAAAAAACTGAAAATTGAAAATTTTAATATATATTACGTCGACTACTCTTAGCGTACAACAATTCTGAACAGTAATACAAATATTTATGCTAATTAAGTAAATGACCTTTGCTGCCACGCCTTCAGTTAATCAGAAAACAAATTTTATTCATGTATTAATGATGTTAGGTATCGCAGATTCGTTTACCGACATGTAGTTTTCTTACATGTCTCGCTTCCGTTTTGTGTTTTTTTTTTCTTGTTAACTTATTTGACGTCTTATAAGATGACAAAGTAATTGTTTCGAATTTTGATTGAAGAACAAATAATTTGAATTATTTGAGTATATTTTTCTTCTTTTCCCTCTCTCTCTCATTCTTTCTTATTTTTTCATACACATCACCTAAGGATGAGGGATATGTTAACTTTTGCAAAGTCCAGAAATACGCTTTAGCATATTCAGCTCCTTGGTTAGCATCAAATTCTGAATCGATTTAAGTATGTCCGTCCGTCTAATGTCTGTTGTATGAAGCTATCATATTTGACAGCATCTTAGGAAGTGCTTGAAATTGAGTCAAATTTGCTCCAAGCACATGCCTGCAACGCTACGTAAACTGAGAACATCTCTGTTTTTCAAAAGGAATAAAAAAATTGGTTTTTTGCTTATTATTATTCGTAAACTATAACAGATAAATCTATAAAAATGAATCGTATTGTTATGTAATTCGCTTTTTTAAGATAGGACTCGTACCACTAGATCGTGGATATTATTTTCAAGAGAAATACACTTCAAAGTTCTTTTGCGATTTCCGTAACAGTATATCCAATGGGCGATGCTCTCGTACTTGCACAAAAATCATATCATAATTTCATTATTTTCAATACCTTTATAACGCGCACATGTAAGTTTCATAACCCTCATAGAATAGATGTCTGTCCATTCGGTCCATCTGTCTGCCTGCTCAACTGCGTGAGCAGTCTGTAGTGAACATCCTCTCGTTCGCAAAAATGAAGATATCGCCTACGAACTTGCAAAAGTAATTAAAAATGAGCCAAATTTTTCAAAGAACACGCCTCAAACGCCCACACGTCTATGCAACAAAAGTTTCGTGCACATTTGCTTTCCCTCTTTCTTGGCCGTTGCTCATAAACTATAACGGGTACACGATATAACGTATGTTCGACAGAACAAATTTTCCCGGAAGGGTGTAGCAAAAAAGGCTTGTGCTACTACCAAAGTGAAGTAAGCCGCGGAATGCTCGCAAAGAAACAAAGATGCTATATTGCACTGTAAAAGGTATGAAAATGGTTGATCCCAAGAAGAATCCAGTCAGATATTGCAAGTGTTAACCAGCAACAGTGACGCATGCAGCATCATAGACGAATTCGTAAGCAGAGTGCTACAAGAATTGCGACGCTTAAAAAGATGGTGGACAGAGAGCAGAGGCAGTGAATGCCAATAATGTATTCTACCTAGGTTCCATCATAGGATGCGGGCTAACATGCAACCAGCCTCCGCAAAGTAGTACCCAACGGCGATTGCACGAAGAAAGGTGATAGGTGAAGTATGTGTGGGGAGTAGTTTAGTAGGCGGCATGGATGGTGAATCGTGCATGCTGCTGACACGAACCACCAGTATCTTTCCAAGATTTCTACCTACAGCTCGCATGGCGAAAAACACACTCACGCGCAAAACAGAGAGTAACGTACAGTAATAAAAAAATCAAAGTTTTTTCCATATAATGATTTGAACAAGGGATAAGGGTAAAGTATACGATGTTTGAATTTTTTAAAATAAAAGTTTTAATGGGTAAAAATGAAGAAGGAAGAAAAAAAACTTTCTTAATTTGATAATCTTTTTTTGAAATTTCGTTTATACGAAAGCGTAAAGTTAATTATAATCTGTAAGCGAAAGATTTGAACTCTTTTACGGTCGTTATTCAATTCTCATCACATAGTCTGTATTCCAAGGCAGATCGCACAGTTTATTGTTAATGTCGTTTTATGAGCACTTAATAAAAGTTTTTCAATGTTTTTATGCCCGTTACGACCGTTAATATACTTGAAAATTTTAATGGATAGGTAAGTAATAAAAATTTCTCTTTTTATCATTTCATATGGTATAGCATAAGTTGCAGTAGATTTGCTATAAATTTCAAATTTCATTCCTTTCATTTAATTATATCGTTTTCCTTAGATAACTTATCGTGTTTATTGAATAAAAAATAATAGGAAAAAATCTTATTCGAAATATTGATGACCATCGCTACACGTTGTACACTCTTCCCACCTCTCTGCCAATTTATGGATAAAACGTGAAAATAATTGTTGCTCTTTTAAGGCACACCAGTCCTTAAGCCATTCCCGTCTGCCCTGGACCCTTTTGAAGAGTTTCGACAGCCCCCCTCATACATAACTCATTGAAAAGCTCTAGTAGTGAATAGATTTCTTTGCATTCTTAGCCACTCAGTCGCAAGCGATTCGTATACATTAGTAATGTTTTCTCCACGACAGTTAAAGTGATTTCGCGAGATCCTCAAACATCTATTCTGGCTCCTATTTTCGCCGATGTTATTTTCGTCCTTCCAAGTTGCGTTTTTTTTTTTTAAGCTAAAATAAATGAGAGTTTGGCTAGAATTAAGAGGTGGATGCTTGATAGTTCTCTCTTCGTAAGCATTAGTTAATACACAGTTTTTGTTTTTAACGACGCTAGGGTCATAATGAAATCAATATTGATATGAACACATGTGAACGAGTCTACGCACCCTTCTCGGAATAGTACTCGACTATAAGTTAAACTTGAGCCCCTACATAGATAATGTAGACTCAAAAGTAACTCAAAAGTAACGTTGCGAAGACTGTACAATCTAAACGTTTACATGTCAAGGTCAAGCTTAAAAGCGTTCAATCTCTTCAAGTGTTAATCTACGGCATTTAGGTAGATGCAGGAGAACCTTCATAGAAATCTGGTAAATGAAAATTTGTTATCCATAAAATTGAACGCTTCATCTACAATAGATATCATGTTCGGATTTTCTTATCACTCTCTTTCCGAAATTAGCTTCAATCAATGGCGTTCGTTTTTGTAAGCTTGGTGAGTAGAATGGTGTCTTATCATGTATACTGTACATGTTTTCTCTTTTTTTTTTAAATTTTCCGAATAATCCTGTCTGCTATTGTTGGTAGCGATGGGTTTGTTAGTTTGGAGCGGCTTGCAATATACGCTAAGCATGAATTTAGTGTCGTCGCCGTTTTTGTTAACCCTTCGTTTGTTTTGTGCCACATGCACTCTTGAAGTCTTAGTACCTTTCCTCGCTGCTTACAATCTGGCAGCATATGACTTCGAATTAAATCGGAATAACGGGACAATTCGTTGCATTTGAAACTCGTAATAACTTTGCCGTGTAATCTTGGCAGATATCGTATAATGTTTATGTCGTAATGTAAAATATAAATCTTGTTAAATATACGCAATTAATATATATATGTAGTACTACTTATGACTCCTCTTGATAATTTGCAAAAATTAATGAGGTCTCCTGATAGTAATTCTTGACTCCAAACTAGGAATGAAGCTGTTGTTGGGATCAAACTATATGGAAGTCTGTCGTAACCAATTGCATGGACATTGTAGTGGGCCAGGGTCCATCATCAATTTGCTTACAGTTACAATACAGTTACTTCTAAATAACATTTCAAAATAATGCATTATGTTAGCGGTACGTAGTCGCCAAAGCAATCTATTTCGAATGGTTTGCAATAGCGTTTGTCCTTGGGTTAAAACACGTAGGCATAGATAAGATCAAAAGCGTTTTCTGAATCGATCGCTATAATAAAAGTTGTATTATTTACGTCCGCATAAACTTAATGTACTCTTATACCACAAGTGGTATATGATATAATGGGGATATTAGTGACAAGTAAGGAAATTATTTACAGGAATCATGTTTATTTAAAAAATGTAGGGTGCGCCGCATAGTCGAGAAGATGAGTGCTGTGAATGCTAAGCAAAGTTTTCGCTGCTTCGAAGCTCAGTGCGTTAGACTGTCGTTTTGTACGAGTTAAATACACTGTTTCATAGAGTTCCTTAGCACATTAAGCCTAAAAATATTATTAATTGCTTAGTGTGAGTTTGGCTGTTGCTTCTGCTCGATGCTCTGATGCTCGGTGTTGTCTGATATCAGCCGAATCAGAAAAGAGTAAATAATAAGTACATTCCTGATACTTTGTAATGCTAATTGGGTATGGCCGCATATACGTGGAAAGTGTTATGGCTGCGTATAATAAGCAGACGCAACCTAAGCTTCTTGCTTTTGCCAATATCCGCGTAGGTTCGCTGAAATTTTCTGCTGCATATGGCAAACGTTTCGACAATACGAGCATATCTCCAATCGTTCAATTGTCGGTATAAAATATTAACCTACTTCGAGCATTTCGCTTAACCGTTTGCAAAGTCCAAAAAGAAAAAAGTAAAAAAAGAATGAATAAAAAATAATTCAACCAATTAATATAAAATTACCTAACATTTCTTACTATCGCTATCGTAATATTCCTTTCTTCTTTTTTTTTCGTTTGTTGTTTCCAAATCACAAAAAAAAAAAAAAAAAAAAGAAAAATTAATTTTTAAGAACTAATTGCTGTAAGCACACCGTTTCTTTTCGCGCTTTGAGTTTCATAAACGGGGAAAAAAGATAAATATATCTGCGCGTGTGTTCCAAGAAATGAGATAAACTTAATAAAAATAAGAAAGCATAATTAACATAATTTTACAGTAATTGTTTTTTATTTCACTCTTCTCGCGTAAGCAGTAAAAGCAGTACAAGCAAAAAAAAAAAAAGAAAAAAAGCTGCTGCTGAATGAATGAATGTTTTATTTTATTTTAATTATCCTTACTGTGTACATGTATTTTGGCCTCACGTTTCGTTTTCTTATGATTGCAGTTTGCCAACGAAGGTGTACCGCCGTTGCCGTTACAAGGTAAAAATTTCCAAAGAGCTAGAAATTAAATGCCCGCCCTTAGCAGGGATTCTGCAATAATACCGTATGCGCTGCAAACCAGTGAAACTGAAGACGAACGAGGCGAATAAATTGTTTAAGTCACAAGTTGTGCAAATAAAGGAAAAAATTTTATTACAAATTAAAAAATAAAAATAATAATAAATGTTGAAAAACAAAAAAAAAAAAAACAAAAAAACAAAAAAACAAAATAAATAAATAAAGAGAAAAGAATACAGTGGTCGGACAATATATTGTAACTGGAACAAAACAATGTCGTCATCAACATCATCAACAGCGGATATTTAAGTTAATGGCAGTTAAAACTAAGAAAAAAAAAAAAAAAAAAAAAAAAAAACCGAAAAAAAGAAAAGCATAATAAAAAATAAAAGGACGACAAAAAAGGAAACTCAATGTCATTTGCATAAATCACATTTACATTTTTATATATATAGAACGATAATGATTCTATAAAGTAATGAAGACGAACGCAGACCAAGACGAAAAAACCAAGAGGATGAAGCAAAAGCCGTAGAACATTAGAAAGGACAAATCATTTTAGCGACTGTACATTATGCCGCAATTAGTTTTGACTACTGCTACTGCTACAACAAACATTACACTGCGTAGCTTACGACACAAGAGACAACTTTGTATTTTAGAATAAAAAAGTAAATTTTTTTTTTTTTTTTTTTTTTTACACTTACATAAATTATCAGAAAAGCGAAAAAAGATGGACTTTTTATTGGTTGTTTCTTTCAACGTTGTCTGCGCGACAATCTTATGCTATTATCATCACACAAAATAAGAAAACAACATAAACGTGAACATCAACATGAACATCAACATCAACTTCAACATCCTCAACTCTTCATATCTTCTGCGCGTATGATTACATATATACAAAAGTTGATTTTCTTTCATCAAACCAACAGAGAATGTAGAGACCGCATTGGCAACTCCTATACAAATAAGTTTATCATTATCATTATCATCATCGTTACTATAACTCTAACAATCAACCTGCCCAACTAACGAAAGCAAAACCAAAAAAAAAAAAAAAAAAAAAAAATAAGAAAGTCGTAACTTTTGGTAAACTCATTGATTTCCGTTTTTTTTCTTTTCAATCTTTCTCTTCTACTTTGTTTTACACCCCTCATCGCAGACAGGTATTGTGCTGGATTACTTACTATCGGACTTGTATGAAAGAAATAACCTATCATATACGAAGTTCTATATATATGATTTGTCTGATCAGCAATTTGTCCGTCTGTTAAGTTCTTCTATTATTTAAACTTTCATAATAATCAATCTTGAAGCGGTAAACCGGCACTCTTGTTTCACACTCGTTTCGTATCGACTTTCAAGACGAATATGATCCATACGCCAACCCGTTTGGAGAAACCTTACCATTGTTTTAAAAAAGTTATTGTAAGTGTTTAACACAACTTTTGAAATGAATAGAAGTGAACGCAAATTGTTGCAATTAGTAAACTGATGGATATGTAAGATTCACCCCCCCCCCCCCCCTAGGGGGGCCCCCTACCCATATTTTTTTTCCCTAGAAAAATTTATACATATTTTCGAAATATTTTAAAACAATCTGATAAGTCTTTGTAGCTGTGCATGGGTTTCTTTTTTTTTTTTTTTTTTTTTTTTTTTTTTTTTTTGAAGCATAGAAAGCGTAGAAATGTGCATTCTTTTAAAACTTGATGTTAATTTTTATGATTTGATTGGGCATTCTATGGCATATTTTATCATGCATTTATGGCAGTAACGTTGTAAGTTAGAACACATAATAATTATTTTTTGGTTAGATATTACGTTTAATAATACTATAAATATATATATATGTATGTATGCGTATATGTATGTATATTAAACACAAGAAAATTTTAATAAATTAAATAAAAAAAAAAAGAGAAATTAAAAAAAAAAAAAAAAAAAACAATTGAACAATTGAAAAGAGCAGAAAACCGCCCCACTTATGCAGTACCGGTGTTCTGGTAGCGAGGTAAGTGCGAGGTAAAATAAGAGAAGCATAGTTCCATTTGATAAAGTCCGATACATCTTCCAACTATCCTATGAAATTCTTTCGAATATCGAACTTGGACTACTTGTCGCCGATATTGCCCACTATGTAGATAGAATTCAAGAGCCACTCAAGGTAACAGATCGACGAGAGACCAATTCGTCGGAATTTGCCAATACGACTAGAGGGTTGCTTTTATAACAAATGCCCCCAAAATAAAAATCATATCTTACAAAATTTATACAAAATACATGAAAATGATTTTTCTCACTTCAAATCGAGAATTTATATAGATGAATAAAAGATTTTGACTTTGTTCAGTGCTGCATTGTAGCACATTGAACGAGCGTGAAAAGGAACAGAATTGGAAGTGGGCAATAATAATATTCCCGTGACGTTCACTAAGCAATAATATAAGATCACGGGCCGACCATGACGACGACCCAAAAAGAACAAGAATGCCAAGCGCCAGATCGAAGTGTTATTGGGTGATGTGTCAAACACAACCCAATGTTTCTTTGCTTTTACTCTTTCATTAAGGAGACATCGTCTACATCCTCGGAGCAGATATCGATATGAGGACAATAATCATCGATTGTTCTCGATACCGAAACGTGATTGCCCTAAAAAAATCTTCCCCGTCTCCCTGTCTTCGGCAGCATTACGACCTTCTTATGTGCCCCAGGCACACTTGATGTGAAAATTACAAAAGCCGTGTCACTGAAACAAGTGTAGCTTGTTATGAGATTTACATGAAATTTTGACACGTATCGTTTGAAGGTTGGTACTATCCACAAATGAAACAAGCCGGAGAGTTATTGAATGTCTTTTTTTTATTACGTTTTTTACATGGTAATTAAAGTAGGCACTTTAGCTTTATGTTTCGAATTTTATAGTGAAAATTAAACAAAAAAAAAAAAAAAAAAAAAAAGTTTTTTTCTCCTAACTTGCATTAAATAAATAAAAAGAAATGTTTTAAAATTTGCAAATATTCAAGAGTTTGTTTGCAAATAATTGATATTAATGGTGTTTGTATAGCATGGTGTTCTTTTAATGCCAGTCCGTGTACAAAAGGAAGCTTTGAAAATGAAAAGAAATGGCATTAAAAGAAACTAGTGGGAGACATGAACGTGATCGTTACAAACGTGTAAACGAAACCAAATAGCATTGAACGATACACTGTTGTGAAAAAAATATGTAAGTTTTATTACGGTTCGTGTGTATCGAAAACTTTTTTATTGCGAGCAATTCGCTGCAATGCTTCTTAGTATAGATAAGGTGGAAAATGTTATTTACGATGGAACTTCATAATGAATATTTGAAAGAGATTATTTATTGTGAAATTGAGTTTTTATAATGCGGAAGATATTTTTTAGAATACGCATTGATATCCTTTTCACGAAAACCTGCCCAGAATTATTTGTTAATTTTTGCTGTTTTTTTTTTTTTTTGTTTTGCTTGCACTAATTCCCTAAAGGTTCGCTTTTAAAAGGAGGCTCTCCCTCTCTCCCTCTCTCTCTCTCTCTCTCTCTCTCCAAGTACATAGTTCGGAAGAAAGAAATATCGTAACAGTTGCGAACTATCCATCAATTATGTACAATTGTTTTCTTTAAACCATGAACTCGGAGACGAGACTCTAATATCAATAAGTCATAAAAATTTGATTCAATAACCATGAAAGTATGTTGATATAATCGCCCGATCGAAATTGCAAAAAAGGGCTATTTCTTCTTGACGTCATCCACGCCCTTTATTACGAGGTGTGATTTCGGACGATTTAGCCTCAGATACGCAGTAACCGAAAGATTTCAAATGCTATGCTTAGTGCTAGAAGAGCTTCATCAATATGTGATATTTAGTGTTCGCTTAAGCGTAATCCCGACAAAAACAAAACACTGCTGCGAAGTGTACAAGCTATAAAATTTAATTACGCATTTAAGATACATTTTTTTGTACCTTACTGTATATAATAGATGATGGCAAAGTCGGCACGCACGCATTGCATCCTTTAGCATGAACTCTATGAATAATAACCAGTCCCCAGGCGCACTTACAAGGCCACAAGTAAATTGAATAAATTTTGTGTTAATTTATATTAATTGACAACTAATTGTTGTTCTCATACTTTGTAACCATTTATTTTGATTTATTTCAATTTATTTGTTCGGTATTTCTATCGTGTTCATGTAAACATCATTGCATGCTGCGTAGGATGTGAAAAATTCAATGTAATCATTGTTGATTCTACTGCTGCTAATATATTAAGCGAGTGACGCAAAAAAAAAAAAAAAAAAAAAAAACTTTTTTCTTCTTTATTAAATAAACATCAACCATTAAAAGTAGTAATAAAAAAAAAGAACAAAGAAAAGAGAGTAAAGAAGAAAAAGAAGAACAAGAAGAAGAAAAAAATATATGAAATATACGTTAAAAGCGTTAAGTAAAAGATTAAAACTTACACCGCCCATGAAGTCTTCATACGCTTGTATACGGCATCATTGTACGGCAAATAATGGTTTATAATTACATATATATTTCTATTAGTTAGCTAGTAAATGCTGTGACAGTGAATATTATTATGCCAGCTTGTGTGTAACAATTCAATAACAATTACAGCTTAAAGTCTACTTTTTCATGGTCCATTTGTTGTCTGAGTTTTGTTGTTGTAGTGCGACATTGTTTATTTAATTTATTAATTATAGATGCCATTGATTAAGCGAAAGGAAAGTGCTGTGAAAAGAAAATGCAAGAAAGAATGAGTGAATTGAAAACAAAGCTTAATATTACGATACAAAAATAAATTAAAATGAAAGAACGCACATCCAAATGAACAATTACACAATGTATGCTGCAATACAGGATGTGTTCGTTCTTTCTACTTGCGTTCAAGTTTCACTATTCATATTTAGCAAGACTAGCATTGATTTCAACTAATTAAATCATTATTAATGAGAAATTTTTGATAATCAAATAATACGCCATCAAAACCTATTGTACATTCGTTAAAGGGGAATTTTAAAGAGCGATTTTGGACACAGGCGCACCGAACTCAAACGGAAATAAATTGAGTGCAATTGTGTTGTCCTTTCGAGAAGAGTCTATTTAGTTCATCAATTTCACATTTAATATCTGAACAATGTAGGATTAAGAGCGCTAGCGCTGCATTTGAAATTAACTCACTATAAGTAATTTTTCATGAGAAGTAATAAATTTGCCTGACGATCACCCAGTATATCATCTATGTATGCACTTGCATAGCAACTGAACATATTGTTTTATTGTAAATAAGATGTTATGGATGGTAAGTTGGCCGACTGATGTGCTAGCGTTTACTAAAGCCATTAAAATGAACAACTGAGTTTACCTACGTTAAGATTCAAAGAAGTAAAAGTCGCCTTTAAATTCCTGTATTCAAGATAACGTTTCAGGATTTTGCTTTTGCATATAATTCGTAACCTTTTGTCTTTTACTGTATGCATGCAGCATTGTCTTTAACCATAAGCTACTGAGAAAATAAGCTCACAATGTAATCTGGCAAAGCTAAAGCAAAAAAAAAAAGGAAACTTATTTCACTTTGTTTTTCGTTCACGATAAAAGGTTTCGAAGGTGCTTACCTTCAAGTAAACATTTATGATGTATATTGTACGTGTGCTTGTAAATTTTGTGGCAGATATAACATCAATAGAGTAAGTGGGAAATATCACACACCTACACTCTCATATTCATAGTATACACAACATACAAGTACATATATGTTGCATATGTGCATAAGTCAAAAACCAAAGTAACACTAGTCGATAACGACATCTTGCGGTCGAATGCATTTCATGAATAACTGACAACCAGTTGCCAATGAAACGGTTCGGTTTGGTTACTTATGCCTGTGTGTTTTTGTATATGCATGTGTATATGTGTGTATATATATATATATATATATATATATATATGTGTGTGTAAATATGCGTACGCGTGTGTGAGCGTACGGGTCACTGTGGGTGACTATGCCGTGTTGTAAATATGTAGCCTTGCTATGTAAACTACAGAAGCAGTCAGACATATCGAAATGCGTTGAATTTTTAATTCGTTTTCTTCTTCTTTTTTTTTTTTTTTTTTTTTTTTTTTTTTTTTTTGTGCTCTGTTTAAAATTGATTTCTGTATCGTCCAGTTCTTTAGAGATTGAAATCAAGTTAATTTACATGCGCAAAATTGTGTGTAATTCATGTGTGTATGCTTGAAAACGCAAGTTGGATTCAGCGTTGTTAAAATAACTGTATAACATTGACAGTGGATTACAAAGAAAAGATACAAAAAAGAAAAAAAAAAAAAAGCCTACAGAATATATAATTAATTCATGATGTTATTTCATTTAACTTTCTATTTAAATTTTTCAATTTTTACTGATTTTTTTTTTTTTTTCTTTTCATTTTGAAAAAAACCCAATCAGATCACAATTCATATTCTTCCATATTCTTCTCTCAAGTAAAAAAAAAAAAGAAGGTCGCTTTCTAAGAATAAAATTTCTATACGGTTTGAAAACTCGCGACATTAAAATTCATTGCGAGATTTTTATATGAAAAGATTTAGTTTTACCAAACTCCAAATCTTCCAATCCGTCTACAAAATCTTAACGCACGTTAAGAGACCACGCTATCGTATACACTTAATGGTAAATAAAAACTTTTATTGTTTGCATTCCTAAGGGGAGAAAGTGCTTGAGAATTTTTCAAATTATCAAACCTTTTCTCTTTTGCCTTGCCTAGACAGTTGAAATCTTTTAGAATATGGGAGAAAGTATTCATTATCTTAAAGAAACCTTTTGCTCGAAGTTTGAACCTTTTTCTTCAAGCAAATGAATCCTGAAGAAATGTGAAAATGGATCGATGCTTGGATCCACGCAAAGCCCATCTCATTCTTTCGATACTACCGTGTCGTCATCTTCGCAGAAAGATGGGAAAATGTTGTAGAAAATGATGGAAAATATTTTTTTTTGTTAATATATATTGTATCGATATTTCTTAATAAAAGTTCTTTTTCGAGTGAAAAGAATGATCGAAATACATGCAAGTACCCATTAGTAATAGATATGCTTAGGGAGTCTCTAAGGCCATTTAAAAGAGATTTGCAGCAAAAAAAAAAAGAAAACATTTTCATGACATTATCGTTGAGCGGTTACGAAGAACGATCTGGAAAGATGTCAGCGCTTCTATCGAGAAATTAAAAATTCATAAAAAGGTTTCAGTTGCGAGTTATGCATTCGTATATAGAATTATAAATTTTTCTTTCTATGTTTTTCTTTTGCAAATCGTAAGGTGTAAGACGTGAGATACTGTCTTTGCATTAGGCAACAAAAGCTGCGTACTATTAGAAATAATGTTCGAGGAAACGGCATGAAATAGAATATTTGAACGTTGCGGAGCATTTTCATAGTCCTGAGATTACAGATCAGTAGTAAGCATTAAAAAAAAATATATATATATTCTAACTTCATAACATGTCTATAACACATTTCAAAACTTTCAAACTTTTTTTTTCGAAACACGACTTTTGAAGGCGACACATAATATGAATAAACTTCTACCATTTTTATTCTCTTCCTTTGAACTTTTTATAATATTTTGAAGAGAAGTGCATAAAGTCTTTTTTTCAATAAGTTATTGTTCACAGCTTCCGTTGCATAGACAAGTGGGCATTCTAGGTATGTTTTTTGATCGGTTTGAGTCATTTTCAAATTCGTTTGTAAATAATGCTATCAACTAATCGTTGCAAACGTTTTGACAAAACGAATATGCTCCTCATGCTTGGGTGGTGGGTTTAAAAATAATTCTATTTGATTCTATTTGAAGTGAAGACAAGGTGGTATTATTCTTTAAAAGATCAGCATGATACTCTTTTTCGATTTCGAATCATGTAACCAGAAATTTATAAACGTGTGTAAAAGTTACCGTGAAAAGTTACCGTGAACATCGAGGCATTTAAAGATGATGGGAACGATATAGAAACTCAGAAAAATTGGATGACGCACAAATTCAAGGTGAGGAAACCAGAATTGCGACTTTTGTTGCACGAAATATTGCCCCATATATACCAGAGAAAAACCTTTCTGTCTGTGCTAAATTGTGATTACAAATAGAAATTGTATCCTCTACGATACCTCACTTAATAGAAAGAAGAGCTCTCTAAGTCTGACTCTTCGTTTACCATCCACGTGAGGCTTTTCGCCTTCATTGAAAGGCATAGGATTCTATATTTCTCTGGGAATTCCAAATCCCACGGTATGCAAAAATTGGTTTTTTTTGTAACGTTGGAAAAGTTTCGCTAAACCGCTGAAGAGAACCCTTAGTCGTGAGCAAATACTGAAAATAAAATTCTAACACACGTAAACAAAAACTTACAAGCAATCGCAGCCATTCATGTATATTTAAATAGGTAGGACTAACTGTCGCCCGATTACCACTAAATAGATATGTGTGTGTAATTACGCAAGTTTACATACAGCGCTGATATCTGAAGACCGTTCAGTTAAAGTGGGGGTCTGCAAAACGAGCAATGGGTGAGCAAGGAGCAAGAGCTGGTTTTTGTAGCAGCTTTAGGAAAACATATAAGCCTCTATGTATTATTTTCACATTTATTTACTAATTCTCAAGTATTGCTTTTTAAGCATAACATCTGCTTTCAATCGTTATTAATTTTTTTAATAATTCTTGATTTTACTGCCTTTACAACATTCTCTTCGCTTCTCTTCTCTTTAAGCATTCTTTAAGTCAAAAACAACTCTTTTGCGATTTGCCATTAGGCTGTCACCAGTCAATCATGTGACGCACCCAAGTTGCTCTTCCCAATACTCCTTTCGAATGTGCCTAAGTTTGTATTGATAAGGAATCTCTCTCTCTCGCTCTCTCTCTCTTAATTCGCCCCCAAAAATCCTATGACTTTTGCCTAAGTATCTACCGATAACGAATTTCTCTCATTACTAACCGCCGCAATCGCTCTCCTGTAGCCAACTCTTTGAACTTTATCTAAATTTGTACTGATAATGGATTTGTATTACAACGCATTTTTCATAGCAATAAAATCACCGGCTACTTGTTCTCCCTAATGTTTCACATAAACTCTCTTAGGAGAGAACGTATATAAATAATTGCCATCATATAAACGCATTGTGTTACGAAAGGGCAGTATCGGAAAAACTTCTAATAGTTAACGTGTGAAAATAAGGTGCGTTATGCAATAAAATATTATTTAAAAGTTTTTA